GTCTTAAAATAATGTAATTGAGTAGAAATGCATAATCAGTTGACGCATCAAAACTCTGTGGAACAATATTACATTTAGAAAATACCTTCTTTAACTTTGCACTAGGCTGAATTTCAGTAAATACACTGCCTTACACCTCTTGCATCCTATCAAAGAAATATTGCAGCTGCACTTAGAAGGAAATCAAAGATGCCAGGTGCATATGTTGAAGATAGCTAAAGGAAAAGTGTGTTCCATCTGTCAGCTGGAGCTTTAATTGATTAAACTTTGAAATGTCTGTTGAGAGTGTATCTGTCTGTATTAATATCCCAATTAAGAATCAGTAGTACTCAGTATTAGTATAGGATAGTAAAATATACCATGCTGTGTGCGTTCCATGATCATGTATACTGTTCAATTGTTAACACTCTCCCTGGCAGATACTGACCTGAGCCAGCCATAAGTCTCCCAGACGATGCCTGGAGATGATTGAGGGAGTAGCACAGTGCATAGGTAGTATGGAGACTTCTTCAGAGGGAAAGGATGTAAGCCATGATGTGTCAGTTTCTTCTCCCAAGTAGCAAGTGACAGGACAAGAGGAAATGGCCTCAAGTTGTGCCAGTGGAGGTTTAGATTGGATATTATGAAAAATTTCTTCACTAAAAGGGTTGTCAAGCATTGGAACAGGCTGCCCAGGGAAGTGGTGGAGTCACCATCCCTTGGAGGTATTTAAAAGATGTGTAGATGCGGCGCTTAGGGACGTGGTTTAGTGGTGGAATTGGCAGTGCTAGGTTTACTGTTGGACTCAATGATCTCAGTGGTCTTTTCCAGCTTAAATGATTCTATGAGTCTATGATTCATTTGCTTTTAAGCTCTTAAAATCACAGAGAAGATGCCTCTCCCATTTGAGTTATAGTATGAAAAGGAATGTTGAATTCTGCCTCCCAAATGATCCCTTCCATATGCATGCTGGTTTTCCTAGCTCCTTCACTGTTTTCAAAGTATCTGTTTTTGTTTATGGCCAAAAGTGTCCAGACAGGTGAGTCACAGCGAAGAGATCACTGGCACCAAACTATGTTTTGTGCTCCTGCCAGATATTCTACGTCAGACTCACTGGTGCTTTTCATTCTTCCAGTTGTGTCTTTCTGTAGCTCATCTGTAAAAAGTAGCAATATCTTTTTTTTTAAAAAAGTGAGGAAAAAAAAAAAGTGCATGTCTCTCACTTGATTCTTATTCTTTTGTCATACATAAAAGCCCTCCCTTTGAAATCTGATATTATACTCTGTGATAAAATATTATTATACTTTGCTTATGCATTCATATTTACCTTGACTCCTGTTTGTTACACCATAGCTTCGACCTTTAGTCCGTGTTTCTACTCACAATCAGCATCTCAGCAAGAAGCACAGAAGGTATAACAAATGATATTTTGTTACGTACAGAAGAGGTACGAAGGTACAGAGAATCTTATTTTGTACAAATCTATGAATAGACTCCTGAATGAGCTGTCAAAATATATGTGTTTTCCTATGAAAAGGGTAGGACAAAATGTCTGAGTTACGAGAGATCTTAAATAAATTATCTAGAGGAAAAGGCAATCTGCTGTATAAATATTTCAAGTTTTGAAATTGAAGCCTTTATTTACATTGATCTGCACTTAGAGGCCTGGCCTTATTTTGTAGCGGATAATCTTATGTCAAAGCAATGTTTAGTTCTACTCAGCAGCTGTTGTATTCATACTAAATTATGTCAGATTTAATCTTGAATATATTCAACAAGAGCACCCAGTTGTGCTGACAAACTGAAAATCATTTTCAGTTAAATATGTTCTATCACAAACCATTTGCGTACTTTGCCTCTCTGAAGAGTGACGAAGTCAGTGTGCAAGCTCAGCTTTGTAATTCCCTCTGCCTGTTGAATTCCCATATTATATCCAAACATCCCAGCAGTAGACTCAATAAGTATCCTACTGGCATGTTGCAATAGCAGAGGTACACAATGTGAGGCATTTTCTCAAGGGTATTACTTTCACAATCATTTTAATTGCACATGCCTGATTTACCACGTATTCATTTGTACTTGTTCAAAGGGAATGCAATTTAATTTTAAAATATTCTCAGATCACTGTGATACTCATTTTACACGGTGAAAAAACAAGACAATAAAGTGGATAATCAGGTTCTCAGAGTTCTGTAAGCAGAACTGAAATTTTGCTTGGAGAAGAAACAATAGAAGTCAAGGTTCACTTGTAGAATACTTCAAAGAAAAATCCTGTAAATCGTGGGTCAAGCACATTGTATGGAGAGAGCACCTTGTTAACCGCAGTGATCATGTAATGAGGAGACGACATGAAGATCAGGAGAACAGTGTGTGAGAACCTAGTTTAACTGGAGAAGAGCAGACAGCTGTAGTCGATGGAACAAAATCATCTCTTCTGGAGAGCACTTCATCGCAGGAAACGTGTTGGAGTACTCTCAGGCACTTTCAAGAGAAGCCTTTCTACTTCCCCTACTCACTGCAGCAGGAGCATAGGAAACTATATGTTCCAAAAGTGGGATGGAAGAAACGGTTCTCCCCTTCCCCAGCTAAACCCCCAGCACTTTAGGGTGCTCATTTAAAATGCAAGGAAGTTCAGATTTATTTTTCTAGGAAAGTCTGAGTACTTGTCATGCTTCCCTGCTGTACGCCTTACAGCATACGCTTTCTGGGTATTTTGGACTTAGGCTTGCCACCTTGTCTGCTTCTGCACTTCCAGTTTGTATAAATAATTATGCAAAGGCTAGAACTCAAGTGCTCTCTTCTGATGACTTTTGTAATCTTTCTAATCCTTCGTGACAAATACTTAGTTGTTTCGTTATGGTGTGCGGTGCTGTAGATAGTTTTGAATGTGAATAACCGATTTGCCCTCTCGTGGTGCCCCAGTCAGCAGTTCCCCAGAGCTCCAAGGAGCCGTACGTCTCTAGGAGTTTAACCTGCTGGGATGTTTTGATTTTGAAAGAAAGATTTGTGTTATAGATACTGACAGTAAGAATCAAGGAGTTTGATGTGCTAGGTTAGGCTGAGAATTTGTGCTCTACACCTCAATTCTGGTTTCTAGTTCCAGTCTCTGCTCGGAAGACTATACAAAGAGAAAGACCATTTACAGCAGCAGTTCAGAGACATCGTTTCTTCTGTAACTTGAAGACTGAGGGAAATTCTTACTTAACGTTTGTAAGGCAGCTGCTTCTTTGCAACTTTAACTCCTTGTGGACTTGATAGCATTGTGTTTCACATCTGTAGGTAGAGAGGAGGAAGTGCTCTCTTCAAGGTAAATTAATGCTGACCATTGTGAAATTTCTAACCAGTCTGGCACCTGGGAAGTCCTTTCTCAGCTGATGTCCGTTTACTGAGAATGCATTATGTAAGCACCATTTGGATTTCTAAGGCTGTATTCTTATAGCTCTTTGTAGGTCACCGGTCATGATGATGGGGCTTGCAGGCAGCTAGTTCTTACTCCTTCAGCTTTCTTCTAAGTTAGAGCTTGGTCCTGAATGAAGGAGCCAGAATCATTCTGCTGTGGCTAATATGATCTCTCCTGCTTGGTTGAGGGGGAAAATCTAGCACATTTCAAAGAACAGATTTCCCTTAAATTTCATTTCTGCCACCTATAGGAAAGGAGGAGAAGAGACTGTGATAGCGTGCTGCCCGTTTGTTACCTGATCAGAAAGTAACTCCCGAAACACACAAACTATGTTTAAAGAGGAGACATTGCTTTATTCTGCGCAGGGTGCAAGGTGGAAGATTCCCAGACATTGAACACACCTACTGAGGTTTTCAGTCCATGCTTACACACTTTAGTTAAAGCACCATGCCTAATACATATGTTCCACCTAACTACTGCATATTCATTACCCTGAGCAAGTATGACATGTTGTTCTCTCAAGCAATCATCCCAGAGTCTTCTACGCCTGCATGGGGGTCTCTGGTGGTCTTCGGGGGTCGTTTGGGGAAGAATACCTCTACTCTTTTTATCCTCTTATGGGCATGCATCATCTGAGGACACCAGGGTCTTTGTTTCTCTTGCCAACACCTCGTTTATCAAAGCCTAAGGAGGAGGGATGTCCTTGATTAGCAAGTCTGTAACTCTGAAATGTCCGTTATCTGGTGCCTTGACTATTTTCCAAACACTCTAAAGCATCCTCTATTGTAAGCAGAGTCTTAAACTAGATAAGCTTTACCCTGAGTACACAGGATCTAAACAATACTTGAATAGCAAGCAGACTACACTTCTCATGTTTTAGTTTTTTATCTTTAAGCTATCACCTCCTTATTTGTTATTCAGTCTTTTGAAGGCTCGAGGCAACAAGTTAATTAGATTTTGGTTTCAGGCTAGAAATGACAAAGTATTTCGATGCTATGTATTTTGGGTGGAATGAGAAATCCAGGAATAAGAGTACATGAGCTAGCACCTCAGCGTGGCAATCCATGAAGCCTTCTGTATTCAATCTACAGCTGTCTCTTAGAAAGAGTTCCAAAGCGGGGAGAAGCTAAGATACCCAACTCAAAGCTGCAGGAAGATCCCACAGTTTACTTAGCAAATTTGTGGCCAGACATGTTTTCATTGAAGTAGATGCCTAAAATAACTCTTTCCGAGAATTGTGCAGGATGTTTGAAAGAGAGACTAGGTGGGCATTCAGAGCTTTAATCTCCTACATCTACTTCAGAGGACTATTATCTTTAGCATATACTGGTTTTTAACTAGCAGGACTGATGCTTTGTTGTTCTTGGGAGAGATATTTGTATTTCCATTCAACAAAGTTGTAGGAGTTGTTCACTAACTTCCTTAGGAAGCTCTAGGTGCTATGATCTAGGTGTCCTAAGAACTTCTGGACCTCTGCTTGGATTTCATTAGAGCACATGGTGTAACTATTATCCCTGGATATAGTATGTAGACTGCTGGTATTTCATAATATTATTAAGATGTGATCATTCAACTCTCCATAGTATGTACACGCTGTTATTCTCTTATTTTTATTTACCAGGTTTCATGTCTATATTTACATAACTCTTCCAAGCTACCTAGTCTGATGAAGTTGAACTTCATTCTTCAAGTGTGATTTACTCAATACAGCCTAAAATCATGATGAAAAAGAGCATATCTGCAAGCAAAGCTTCCTTGGTCCTCTTTCTGTGCCAAATGATTTCTGCATTGGATGTACCTCTTGACTGTAAGTATTAACCTGCTAAATAAGTGCAAAATAATGGAAGATCAGTTAAATAATTTCTGTATAGGAAGATGAAGATAACTCCAACATGAAGCTAAACATGGAGTGTGTTTGCTCACTTCAGTCAGGACATTATGATTATGAACATTTACACTAATTTACTGAAGATTTTCAAAAACTTTGCATATAAAATTACTTGCATACCTACTTGGGAAGGATTAGCATAGGATTCTCATGAATACTCACACTTCGATGTGCTATTGAACACATTATTTGATGAAAAGGAAGAAGGGCAGAGAAGTCCAGTTAAATGCTAATTATTTGTGAAATTAAGATCATATTGACAATTTGCTGAAAACCCCAGAACAATTCCTACTTGCTGTAAACAATCATCCTTATCTGCATGTAAGAGGTTTCCAGGAGCTGATACAAGATGTAGTAAAAGATTCAAATACCTAGAATTTAGACACTGGAAGCATCTTACGTTTTGATCCAGAAGAGTAAATTAGGCTCTTAGATATCCTAAGCAGTGCCTGAAAACGGTCAAGTACCTAACTTTAAGCTGAAAGCATGTGTGCTGAGCAGGGAGCTCTAGCATTAACCAGTGAGGAAACATCTAGAAGAGGGGAAATCCCAAGATCTGAAATTCTTGTCTAATATAAGACTGTGTTAGTGGGGAACCTTGAAGGTAGCACTCCATGCTGAAAAGGAAGCAATGGTAGCTGCTGCGTTTTATAGCCCTAATAGCTGATTTTATGAGATTAATCGTGCTTCAGGTTGTTATTTTCTTCCTAAGATAAGCATGATCACATTTTCAGAATTCAGTGAACCATGTTGCACCTCACAGTGACTATTCATTTGTTAAACTAATTACCAGAGAACATTAGGGCCAGTGTTAAATTGATGGATTAATACATCAGTAAATTTGCCTATGATTCTAATCTGCATGGCTTTCTTTATGCCTATGTTTTTGATACCTTCCTACCTTCCATAAATGCATGTTTTTCATTAATAATCATTGACATAAATTGCAACTGTTTTGGTGTTTTTTTCTCCATGCATATTTACAAGCCTCTCAAACCAGTGACCTGTATTTCTGTAACAAGATCAATATATCTGAATCACATCAGACTTGTTGTGCTGTGAATACCTTTAGAGCAATAAGCTGTGGCTTAAAGAGGGCTTTAAAAGTTAGATGAATGAATGTCTTATTTTCTAAACTTAATTTTTCTTCCTAAATATTTTTGCAGGCTAGAAATAGTGTTTTAAACCCATCTTGTAGTTTAGTAACTAATGTAAATCATGCACCACTCTAATATCTGTTGTATAGAGCAACACTTCAGGTTAAATTAACCAGAAAGGCACCAATAGATAAAAATGAGTAGCCCTTTTAGATATATCACATTAAATCTCAATTAATTTGTTCCCTACTGCATAATGCTTACTAATTTTGTTAGGTCTGATAAAGTCACATACTTGAATTTTTAGCCAAAAATCGTATTAATCAAAATTACATCTTTAATGATGATATTGCTTTCATAAATAATGATTAGAATGGGCTCTGGGAGAGCACCAAAAGGGAAGGACTTATATTTTCTGTGCGTTTTCCCTACATACCCACCACAGAGATCTGGTGGTGAGAACATACTTAATTAGTTGAACCTTTAGGTTTCAACCAAGTTACCAGTTCCTATGCTCGTCAGTGTCTCAAAGTAGGTAAGGGATGACTGACACTGTAGCTGACCAAAAGCAGTCTGGAGACATGTATGCAAAATATTTGAAGTAAGCAATAAAGATGTGACAACTAAGATGATTTTTTTTGTTTAGTTATTTTTCAAACCAAAAAGGATTGCATGTGTGTTGAGTAGAATTAGGTGCTTTTGTCTTTGTAAGAGTAATTTTAGCCTGAAGCATTCTCTTTGTTCTTCCATATGATCATAGGGGTGGATTGATTTTGACAGCAGCACGAGGGCAGTGCACTCCATTAATTCTGATTTGCTGTCTCCTCAGTATCAGTGTTTTGTGTCCTTGCAAGGCCAAAATCACATACCACGGTTGCCCTTAAAAAGTCAACGCTTCAGAGAAGTTTCTCATACCACGAACTTGAGATAAATGTAGTAATATCTGACACAATAGAAATAGTGGCTGGAATTTCAGGCATCACGGCATGGGTTACAGTGCTAAATATTTTAAATGTTTTCTTTTTAATGGTGACCAATGTACTTGTCAGAGATACTTACCTTCCCTCTCAAAAATGCTAATTTTCTTTTAACTAACAAATGTTTCTCTTTAATCTCCATTTGTCCATTCAACTGCTGATTCTGATGGGGGAATAAAAGCAAAACTTCTAGAAGAATGTAAGTTCCTGTCCACAAAAACTAGGCTGTGTGCTGCTGAAAATTAATACTGATTGTGTTGCAAATTGAATTTGCAGTCCAAAAATGTGTGATTCTGAGATTTTATTGATAATTTGGTTTGCTGTAGCTAGATGTTTTGTGCATGCAGTGTTTAGAAAATACTACTGTACATAAATCAGTGTTCTGATATTTCGAACAAATTAATTGTGTGATTTTTGATTGTGTGCTATCTGAACGTTAAAATCTTTACTCAATATCAGCATAAGCAGTGTTTTATTACTACTTTCAGGAGTAAATATATTTGATAAAAAAGAAATTCTTTGGAATATATGTCATTATATACTGTTTTACATGTCCGAGTTGGAGATACTTTTGTATCTTTAAAAAACACATACTGACCCTGAGAACTGTCTCTGAGAGGAAAAAGGACTGTCTTCAAAGTGCCTCTAAAGAAAAACACAAAAAATCATCATCATGTAAAAATGTTGCCTTCCTCTTTTAAGCACTCTCCTCTCTGCAGTGATGAAGAGGAGCAAAAGCCAGCTCTGCATGGCCTGTTCTACTTAGCTGCTATTTCTCATTATGATTCCATGATCTGATTTTTTTTCCTGGATATTTCTTGTGGGTAGGGCTTTACAGACAGCTACCTCTTTCTGTGTAACAGAGTACTTAATGTATAATGGTAGGGAAGACTTAAAAAAAATATCCCAGATTTACAATTTTAACTAGCTAGAGTGAGGCCTAAGTCTACTGATTGAAATATTTTGCTGAAGTGGGTAGAAATGTTCCCAAAGTACTAGCAAAGTGTATTGCTGGACAGATAATTTACAACATTTAGACAGGGATGTTCACAGCCGTGTTATTAACCTGATTCCTTTAGATGACACTGAACTATAAACAGACTAATAATGTTGAGGAAGACACCTTTCTCACTACCTTAATACCATAAACAGGATTTTTTTAAGGCAAAAATATGCATAGATAATGGTAACAGATTATAAATTACTTTATAAATAGGTAAGCACCAACTGCTTTGTCAGGTGAATAAATTCTGTTTTGTGCTACTCATGCTAGAGTACTTGATAAATCATAAATGTTAAGTGTTTGTTTCTCCTGGGGCAATTCACAAGATTGACTATATTTTTGTTGGGTTTTTTAAAGGAGAATCAGTGCTAGACTTCTCCTACGTGTTTACTCTATTTGGAAACTAGTTACTATTTTTGTCATTTTTTACAGAGTCTTTTACTTATAACACATTTTTTACTCCTGAAAAGTAGCTCCTAAAAGCATGCTTTGTATATTAATTCAATATGTTAAGCACAATAAATGTGTGAAAAGTTTACACACATAGAGAATTTGGAAATACATAAAATATTTAGAAATACAAAGCAATGTATGTTTTTTTCCTTCTGTGTGGTAAAAAACATTTTGTGTGGGTATATGTCTCACAACATTTCATTTAGGATATGTTGGACTTAGAATTCAAGTGCCCTTTGGTTTTGTGAAAATCTGTTGAAAACTGATGTATAGAAATGATATTCATTAAACTTTTTGGCCAAGATTTTCATCTGCTGTAAATCAGCATAGTTCAGTTGGACGTTAGTATAGCTACACTGATTTACAAGAGTAGAGGGCTTCAGCCTCCTAATACAAAGGATACTTTAATCCCAGTCTTCTGTTGATGATTTGGTTGCTAACAGCAATTCTGCTTTCTCTGCTTACAAAACTGTCTTGCTGATACTTTGAAAATATTGTTAAATTCCTCTCTGTTTCTTATATTCCATAATGAAGTGTCGCAACCTCCTACGATAACTCAGCAATCTCCAAAAGATTACATTGTTGACCCTCGAGAGAATATTGTAATACAGTGTGAAGCAAAAGGAAAGCCACCTCCTAGGTTAGTAGCATTTTGTTTTGCTTTTGTTGGCCTACAGCATAGGAAAACTAGGAGAAAATAATGTAACTTTTGTAAAGTAACAAGTATATGCATATGTATGTGCTTGCACACACAGAAACATGCACGCACTCCTACCTTTGTAATTTAAACAGCTACCAGATAGTGGCATAAATTTGACTCTTCTCATACTTGACATTTAAACTTTCATAGTCATCAAGCAACTGTAGTATTTTTTTTCTCCTCAAAGCTCTAACAATAAAATAATACTCGATTATTACAGGAGCAGATAGGTAAATGCCTGTGGAAAGCTCAAAGAGGCATCCCATACTATCAACTGGATCATATTCCAGATTTAGGCATAGCGTCTAAGAAGAATGGACATCGAATAAATTCAGAGTAACACTAATAAATTTAATGTTTTGTAAATCATTGTGTTTTACGAGGCTCATCTTGAAATACATAAGCATTTTGTCAGAAGTTATGTAATTTGTATCAGTTTCAATGATCAGTAGCCTTGATTTACCAAGTCTACCTAATAGCCTTAACTTTTGGTTTTGGCAGAAACTATAACCCTTTGTATAGATCAGATTCCCAATCGTCTTCCACTTTAAGGCCCTGTTTCAGTATCTTGAAATATTTGAAAACTATTCGTTTCAAGATACTGCGTACCTGCGCTGGAAACAGCAGTAGCTGTGATCCATTCTGGCATTGCTAGTAACTGCTTCTGATTTCAGAGGCTGTGAAGAGATATGTGCATCTCTCTGCTCTCAGTAGTGTTATGCTACAACTTATTAGCAAGGTCAGTCTATAATTGTTCATTCAGACACACATAGAGCTCATTAAATGTACTTCCTCTGAATAACCAGGGGTTTTTCTACATTATTCCTTCTCGTTGCCTTGGGATCACAGTCGTTATCATGCTGGGCAGCGGAATGGAGAAGATGGTGATTATCTGTGGTTCTGTCACCCTTTCTAGTGTTCTGTTAATTGTAGGAGTGCCATGAAGCTGCTACCACGTTTTTAATTTAGCAGGCACAATGCCATTCTCCAGAGTCTGGGTGTTGGCCGGGAGGATCAGATGATTATTGTGTGCTTTGGGACAACAGTACTGCTTCTGCAGATATTTCTCTTGAATGCCTTTTTTGGGTTGGATTTATCTGAGAGAACAAGAGCACTGTCTGTGAGACTGACATATCTGAGTCATGTGCCAGGGCTCTCTGCCTCATCTTCCCCATTAAACCTGCATCTCACTTTGTTCCCCTGCTACAGAGGAAGTGACAGGATTTAAGTGCAGAATTTTCTAATGAGTTTTATAAGCTTGTGCTTAGTTTAGCTTATTTTTAAAGATATGACATCCAAATAATTTATTACAATAGTTAGTCCGGTCCATCAGTCTTGATGACCTGCAAATGCCTATTGGAACTTGAGCTGCTTCAAAGCTCTGAAGTTGAAGATGAACTTCCTCAGCCGGGAGTGTGAATTGTTTGTTAAAACTGGGTAACTTCTTATGGGTGAGAGCAGCTGGCATAAAAGTTTAGGGATATGCTGCTACCTATAGCTTGAGCAGCAAAGATTCTGACTTTCATGCATCTCAAATTCAGGGTTTTGTACCATATTTGCCACCGCTCATTTGAGGCTACGTGACAGTTCCCTGTATCCTTCAGTATTATTGGTAGCAGAGGATTACAGAAACCCCACGTTCTGCAGCTTCGCCCGCAGGGTCATAAGAAACAGGTTCACTGTTAGTTCACTGTGCACAGTAGTCCTCCCAAAAACACTGCAGTGCGGTGCTGTGGTGCTGTGCTGCTGGTCAGGTCCAGTTCTTGTGCAAATAGCACATCCAGTCTTGCCCTCCTACTGCAGAAGGTCAGAGCACAATTTAAACAACTTAAAATTTGAGCTTTTCTAGTACCATATATGTTTGTACTTTTAGGAAGCATTCTAACCAGTAAGCATATATAGTGTTTGTGTTTAAGATTATGAAGCTGAAATGTAGTAAGTACAAAAATTGCTGTTCACAACATTTGAACCTGTGAGTGCTCAGCACTTCACAGGCATTGGTCTAGCTCTCTGCAACTATACTTTTCGCCATTAACAAAGCGTAAGTAAGAAATTGGTGTTTACGCTAGAATAAGTCGCAGACTGTGAATCTCTGCTTTTCTACATGGTTTTTTATGAGTTCTAATACTCTTCATTTTTAGTGACTACTTTTCAAAACATCTCTTGCTTTGAGTAACACCAGTATAAATTTACTAGATTAATTATGGACTATAAGACTGCAAAATTTCATTTAAAGAATCATGATTGTTAGAGTAGTGAAAAGAAATCAAACTCACCACACAGTCTTTAATTCACTTGCATAACTTTAAAATGGCCAAACCAATTAAAAGAAATGGTCTCCTGCTGGGACCTGAGATGACACATTTCAGCCCAGAGCAAGTTTCTAAAGGCAGGTTTATAAACCCTTTCAACAATAGGTTTTATAATGGAAATGCTAATGCAGCTTTAGCAATATCAGTTCTTGCAGATGTTACTGTATCATCTTTAGTAGAAAGAAAATCAGCTCTTTTCCATATACGATTAACTTCAGAATCTTTTAATGTCATTTTTTTAAAAAAATATTGACTTTGAAATGGCTCCTGTTAACAAGTTCAGCCAAGCCTTTTATCTTAAAATATTGCCAGATTTCTTGTATTAAAATGTGCTCTATTACTTTATTAGTTAATTTAGTTTGGGAAAAAGCTTACTTATCTGCTAAAGAAAAAATACCACGCATTATTGAAAATTACTTTTTTCTTCTTTCTCTCCATACAATCTACAAAACACAACTGAAGAAGAAACTTACTTATTTTTATTATTTTAGCTTCTCCTGGACACGCAATGGAACTCATTTTGATATAGATAAAGATGCACAGGTAACAATGAAACCAAATTCAGGGACCCTTGTCATAAATATTATGAATGGTGGGAAGGCAGAAGCATATGAAGGAGTATACCAGTGTACAGCAAGGAATGAACGAGGAGCAGCCATTTCCAACAATATCGTTATAAGGCCTTCTAGTAAGTGAAGCTTTTAATGTTCATAAAATGTGAAACACTTTGGTTTGCTTATTTTCTTACAAATGCTTCACTATTTTTTTTCCTGTCTTAAAAATTTAATCATCAAAGTGATCATGTTAGAAGGTATTGCATAGTTTCTGATGTTCAGATTTAATAATGTATTGCATGTTCTCTTTAATATTCCATAGAAAATTTAATAACTAAAATGCTTTCCTGGTTTGTTTTTTTTTTTTTTTGTATGTCTGGATCACCTATCGTTTAAAATTGGGTTGCATATGTGATGCTACAATTAGAAAAAAATGTTTAAATTCTTAATACATATCATTGATGAGGACAATTTTTATTCTCTTTCTGATGCGTGTATTCCACATTTTTTATAATAGCTTTAATACAGAACATATTGGGACCAAAAAGAAGATGAAGCTAAAAAATTTTGATTAATGGTAGACTGTTTCTACAGCTTTTATGTGATTTTTATCTTAGATCAGTTTTTCAAGCTTCTGAGCTTAAATTGTGCTGTTCTCACATGTTTTAATAAAACTGTGCATGTATAATACTGTTTCAGGAATGTCTGCCTTTTTTCCTAATTTAGTGCATCACTTTTTTTTTTATTATCATAGTTAAAACTTTCCAAGATACTGTTATAGAACCTTTCTCATGAGTAGCCAAAATAATTTGAATCAGTTGATTACACTTTCAGCAAATCATTGCTGTACAAAATGTTTTAAAGAAAACCTACTTTTCTCCCAAGAAAGCATATAAAAGAACAAAAATTAAATCTTTAGTAAACATGAAAGACTTAACATTCTGATGCATGTCGTTCTTCTGTTTTTCTGGAATATTATGTGCATTTCTTCCTTAAATTCTGGAATTTTTATCAATCCATAGTTTGTATGTGTGTTAAAATTACTTTCTATAGGATCCCCTTTGTGGACGAAAGAAAAACTAGAACCAAATCATGTTCGAGAAGGTGATTCACTAGTACTACACTGCAGACCTCCTGTTGGTTTACCACCACCTATAATATTTTGGATGGATAACGGTGAGTTTGTTTTTTATGCAGAATTAGTTCACTTTTTGCAGTTTTGCTACATAGTTGATCATTGCTTACCAAGACCACAGATGGTGGAGTTTCCCTTTTAAGTTAAAATTCAAAGAATTTCCATTTCTGTAGAAATGAAGAAACAAGCAAACGTGCAGCCCAAAAGCATGAAGCCAAAAGCAGCTGGAGATCTTAATGTAAGTTGTAGGTTAACCCACTGGGAAAGAATGGAAAGACAAGGGAGCTCGAGAGGAAACGTAGAAAGGTCTATGTATTTACAAACCCACAAACAGCGTAATGGAGTGAATGAGGAGTCTGCAGATCATAATAATGGAGTGTGTATTCTAATTGAGATAAATGTGTTCTTGTTTTCTCTTAGCTTTCCAAAGGCTGCCTCAAAGTGAAAGAGTTTCCCAAGGTCTAAATGGAGACCTTTATTTTTCTAATGTACAACCAGAAGATACCCGGGAGGACTATATCTGCTATGCAAGATTTAATCATACGCAAACTATACAGCAGAAACAACCCATTTCTGTAAAAGTCTTTTCAAGTAGGTATTGCATTACCTAATTACATACTTACATAGTATTTATCCAAAATTCTCAAGTTATTTGCTGAAGTTAAGTAGTGTTACGCTAGGGAATTTTGTCATTTTAATTCTGAATAAGAATTCTGAATAAATAAATTACATTACTGTGTAAAATTAAAATGTAATCTCCAGTTTTCCTGACATATAATTCATATTAAAAGCTATCGTTTTTTCCCTTTATAAGGCTTTGTCTTTTGAAAAAATGTTTTGTAAGATTTGAAATACTGCAAAAATACAGTGTAAAAAATAACAGTTTTCAGATGGTTTTCATGTCCGAGAATATCAAGTTATTATGATTATTGTAACTATTGAAACAAATTAATCAATCATTTGATTAACTCGCCGTGGCCATATCATCACCTTTTGATTCCCAATACTTTGATTTATCCCTCTTGTATGTATTCTTCATGATATTCTGTTTATTTCAGTGGATTCATTGAATGACACTATAGCTGCTAATTTGAGTGACACTGATATTTATGGTGGTGAGTTACACTGGTCCCCACTGATACTCCCTGTTTCACAGTAGCATTTAGTTAACTAACTTCACCTCCATGGCTACTTAACCTTTTGCTCCCTTTTCAGTTTCTAATAAACGTATCTATTAGTGCTGGTGATAATACATACTTTAGAAAGGGACTGCACAGTGTGATCCTTTAAAATATTTAATGTTTCAATGTTATTGTAACATATGGCTCGTAAAAAATATAAGCTCTTATAATAAATGAGTGCTTTCACACTGGGGCAGATTTTAAAAATTGCCTATTTGATTGCTTCTGTACTGTTGCTTTTTTTTTAATATTTTTCCTCCAATTTACCTATTAGTTTGATATGTTCATTATCACTAGGACTATTCAATATCATATGCTGCATAATAAATAACAACAATTAAGCATTTAACAGATGCACTTCACATTTAATAGCTTATTGAATGTACCATTCATTTTTTAACATACTTCATAAGTGTAAAACTGGAATTAATTAAAATCTAAACACTTTAATACTATCTGTATGAATAACTTCATAGGGGAAAGATGAGTTTTGTTTGTCTGGTGTTTAAGCTGATCTTTACGTTAACCTGTGTTGAATGGTCTTTTGTATATTGTGAATTAAATCCTCCTAAACAGGTGTACGTGTGTTTAGCAAGGCTGACTTTGGAGCAACACTGATACTGTAACACTTTTGAGGTTCTAGACTCTCCACTTGATATTGTGTGAGATAGATAGAAAATACATGATATTTATTCTATTTTTGTCTTTTTCCTTGTCAAATGAGGCTTTGTACATAGTAAACCATAACTTATGGGTATCTAAAATAAAACGGGGCACGGAATATTTTAGTTCTCTGCACAAAAATAAGATGTCATTCAGGAACAAACAAGAAATATGTACCTGAACACAGAATGATATATTAGCTACAATTAGTGAGGAAGACACTATTTGGTTGGCTCACAACTCAGAAATACCAGAGGTAATTCTTACAAATTTTCATAGTCTTGCAAAATGAGTCAGCAGTCCTTAGTGGTGCCGAAACTGGGTAGTTTGACTGGGTTATTGCCTGTGACTATCAACTGCGTTCTTGACTCTAGACCACCCTTTTCTCCCAACTTCAGGTTGTTCATGTACTAGTTTTTAAGGAATTCATAGCACATACTGTATTAAAATAAAGTGTTCTTTTATGTTAATCTATCAGTAAATCCTGTACCCTAATAAACAAGAGTTTATTATGTTTCTGCTCACATTTTCAAAAAATACAATAATTTACTGTAATGATTCAGACTGCTACTGCACTTTAGAGCAATTTAATCCTGTATTTTAAAATTGCTATGAAAGAACATTGGAGTATTTACAGAAAGCACTCTTATTCTGACTCTATGAAGCCAACAGAGTATAATGTCAGAAATTGGTCCTATATTTATAGCTGTCTCTTTACTGTGGTTATTTCTTGTGGGTTAATCAATGGTTCTTTATTACCAGACTGGGGAACAGTTTGTATTAAAGTTAAATGTATAGTAAGAGGAGAATACAAGGCTTAACTTCTGAAAAGACACCTTACATTGTCTAGAAAATACTAAACAAAGCATATTGTGAAGTGGAGTGTACCTATTAACCCCTTGGTTTATATTTCTGAATACAATAACTTTGCTTTGTTTGTGTTTTGATGGAAGCCCAGAAATTTTTGGTAACTTTCAGTCTTACACTATGACTCACATCACTGACCTCTTATTCCCCATAACAGTTCTGCTTAAGTAAATAGGGGCTGCTTAGGATTAAGGCTCAGCATCTATCCATCAGGCTGCATAGTTGCCTATGTAAAAACTATGTATCAATTGCTCTCATCTTTAATAATAACATTTTTCATGTATGTGTTCAAAATTATAGCATTTAACAGGTTGAGATATGTCTGTCAAAAACCTAATCTGTTGAGCTGTGTAGCTGTGTAACACAATGATTCTTGATTAAATGGCCAATGTGGAGCAAAATCTCGGTCCAAAATGTGAGAATGGATGTATGCATTTGACCACTATTAAAATAAAATTTAGAAATTAATTATTTTATTTTTTCTTGTTCCAGCGAAGCCAGTTACAGAGAGGCAGCCAATTCTTCTAACACCAACAGGTAGCACAAGTACCAAAGTGGAACTCAGAGGAAATGTGCTTTTGTTGGAGTGCATTGCAGCAGGATTGTGAGTTACTTTTTAGAGAGTATTTTTCTAAATAAAAATACAGAAACAGAGGGAAACATTTCAGAAATGTTTAAAATGTCACCATTGTATAAGCTTAGATATTTCAAAGAAACAGAAATGTAAAATGGAAAGAGGTCTTTTAAGGAAGCCCACCATTTACTTGGGCATCAGCAGATTTAAAAACTGACCATGAACATGAGTATGGCCTCTGCCTTCTCATATCCCCAAACCCTCCACAAAGGATTCAGGTTGTACCATTGTTTTTTTTAAAGGATACAAGCAAGGAATGCTATAGGGTAAACTTGGGCACACATTTGTAGAATTGCACTCAGGAATCAAGCCTCTGTTTTTTTCTTAGATTTACAATCGTTAGGCTCTCAAGTTATATAAAAATAGATAAGAATCTGCCTTCTAATCTGAAAAAGCTGCTTGCATATGCTAATAATTACTTGGTAGATCAGCTAGGTGGGAGTTTTTAGAACATAACTTCAGCTCCTTACATCCAATTTCTCATTGTAATTGAGTTTAATTGGTACTTGTTTCTTCGATGTAATGCAAGTTTGCTTCTGCTGGTTATTGTGCAAGTAGAAAATGACTAAAGAGCAATTTAAATTAATGAATTAGTTTGATCTTAAATCAGTTTCATTCTCAGGAGGAAATCTGAGAATAGATTGGTTAGTGCAGACGTGGAAGATCGTTAGTACCTATTTCAGGAACTGTAAACATGTTCACAGTGCACAAAAGCATATAATGCAGAGTGCTCTGAGGTAGCCATGAGGAAAGCCAGTAATTGCAAACGATGCAGCACAGCATCATGCATGTGTGTTCCCTTGCATACGCTGCATAGGGCACGCTCATGCACAGCTTGACGTGGCTTGATACAAGCATCAGTGCAGTGTTTCTGTCTCCGCTGTGGTCTGCTCAGGTGTCTGCATCAGCACCACTAGCAAAACCACACCTATGAGTGGGAGTAGCATCAGCTCAGGTAATCTTCATCTGCGATATAGTTGCATGCTTTTTGACAACCCTGCAATAACAGTATTCAGCGATCCGAACTCCAGTAAAATGGCTGGATAAAAATGGGGGAAAAAATAGAATATTATACATTATATGGTTTTGTGTCTTTAGCTGTCGTGACTTTAAAAAAAAAAATAAATTCAATGAGGGAAGCCTACATAGTTGTCCACAAAGGGCCAGATTCAGATTTTGTTTAAAATAACTATTCCTAATTACTGATACCATAATTAAAAGTCAACTTTGCTAGGTGTCTCTGTTGTAAAATATGTGATATTAGACTGCTAAGGGAATATTTGCCTTGAGTCACTCCTATTTGAGAGAGGACATTCTACTCAGTAAGAAACACGTTGAAATTTCTTGTAATTTTAAAAGTGTATCTCCATGTATTTGGACAACTTTCAACTTCAGTGGACAGCATGGGGCACAGCCAAGATTTAGACATGGTGCGGTGATGAGTAGCTATACTTGACTCAGCACTGGCTTTTCTTCTTGATTTCTCATAGAAAATATTTCTGTCTCCTTACAGCTCTGCTGTAAAACTCTATGACGTTCATGAAGCATTAGGATATTGCTCACACAAAGGACAATTACAAACTTGTCATTATCTAGAAGCAACCTTTTAAAGCACCATGAGCATCAATTTAAAAATATAAGTGTAATAAGATTTGAAATACACTTGTATTCATTTATTAACCATCACAGTTTCTGGATTAATCAGCAGACAAATGTATTCTATAATTATTAAGCCTACGAACAGATGGCCATTGACAGCATTAGTGAGGCTTGTCATTTCCTAGAAACAAATGCTGGCATATTTTGCACATTTGCTGGATGTGCCCCAGAATCTGGGTAAAGGCTCTTAAAATAATTATTTGTAAAATATATGTTCAACAATTAATGTATTGAACTCTCGCCTTCCTTTTCTCCAGTCCCTAAGTTCGATCTGTGCTTTTTCTTCTCCAGACCCACACCAGTAATACGCTGGATTAAAGAGGGTGGGGAGCTGCCAGCCAACAGAACATTTTTTGAAAACTTTAAGAAAACTCTCAAGATTATAGATGTTTCTGAAGCTGACTCTGGGAACTACAAATGTATAGCAAGAAATATATTAGGTTCTGCTCATCATGTCATTTCGGTAACTGTAAAAGGTAATACTAAGATAATTCTTAATGTAGTATTGTCAGTGTCCATAATGCAAGACTGCAGAAAGCTTTCTAGGCTAAAGTATAGCTGAAAGCATAAATGATAATGGCAAAAAGAAAAAAAAACCTGAGGAAGTGATCATTAAACCGCCTGAATTCTACCACTGGAAGGACTTTACTATCTCTAATCTCTTTTTCTTTTTTTAATATGTTATTTTGTGAAGCATAAAGCTAAATTGAGATTGTACTGTAATAGTAGTAAAATCATTTCTTAGCATGTACTAGTGCTGCATTTATTTTAGATCCTTTGATTATCTGTCATTATACTTCTTTCCCTTGTTTTTGTATCTTCCTCCCCATCTCTCTTCTTCATCTCCTTATTTTCTCCATCTTTTCTGCTTTCCATTCGTATAGCCCAGATTCTTTCTCTTCTTTATTTTACTATTGTTGTATGGTCTTATATTCTTCTTTTTTCTCTCTTAATTGACATTTCTGGTTTTCTACCTTCATGTTGTTTACTCAAGATGATGTCTTACTAGTTCTAAAAACACTTACAGTGTGTTTGTCCAAATAGGAATTGTAAGTATGTTTTGAATACCATGAAAGAAAAAACCTGGAATGACAGCTAATTAGTCATTGAAATAATCAACTGTAGTGCTTAGTTTGCATGCTAAATAGCCATTTATTTTGTTGTAGACCAGCATCATTTTATGATCACATTCAACCTCCTTTTTAAGAGCAGAAATTTAATTTTCTGTTTGCATCTGTCCATCAATCCAAAATCTGAAATTTAATTGCAGGACGTGATAACATATGCTGTTTGTGATTAGTTATTGTAAGAGACAGAGACATAGAGGAATATCTTTTGCTAAGGACAGTGTTCCATCCATTTTGATCGCTGTGTGTTTTCAGCTGTCTCAGGTAAACATCTGGCCCCTCTGCAATCACCCATTGAATTCAGCGAGACAGAGGATTTTGCCATTTCTAAACTTCACCCTTGACATGAAATCTTTTTATGTAATCAAACCTAAATTCCGTTCTAACAGTCTAACTACTGTGAGCATGGATATCTCTAAAATTAATCAGAAGACCACTCTAGTCTCTGCAGATGCCATACTCAGATAAATTTTGCTTTCTTTAGGAAAGGCAAATTAGATTCAAAGCAGGCAAACCTAAATGAAACAAAGAACCTCATGTTGCTTATCTCAGAATTGTAATGCCGTGGGTAACCAAGAGCTCAGTTTAGCCAAAGTATAATCTATCGGTTAATCATTGAGTATCTCACACACACATATATATAGATAGATAAATAAATAAAAAAATTAACAGTATAAGTCTATATTTATACATACCTTCTTTGAATTATCTTCTGGTTACCGTGACTGTGCCTTATGATTTTCTATACATAATTTTGGAAAACAATTCTTGGTTTCTCTTCCTAACCCCAGCTGCCCCATACTGGATAACAGCACCCAGAAACTTGGTGTTATCTCCTGGAGAAGATGGGACATTGATCTGCAGAGCTAATGGCAACCCAAAGCCTAATATAAGCTGGTTAGCAAATGGCGTTCCCATAGCAAGTAAGATTCTTAATTACCTTACGGGAGGATGAGTAAGAGAATATGAGGAATATCCGGATTTTTTTTTAAATATAAATGAAGAGCGTGTATTTGCCTGACAGGTAATACTAAATTTTAAATGAGGTGATAAAAATACTGTGGTTCATAAAAGTGGAACAACAAAATGTGCTTCTGATGTGCTTGAGAGCACTTAAGTTTGTGACTGTACTCCTGGTTATTCTGTCTGGTGTTCTGCTGGTAGTGTCCTTGTGGAAGTGGGGCCACAGTAACAAAGGTGCACCATGCCCCTTTGACGGGGTATTGCTGGGGTGTAATTTTTACCATTGTGTTGCCATGGCATTTGTGTATTCTAGATCTCTCCTTTGCCGCAACACTGATTTTGTCTAGGAATTGTAAAGGTGACAAAAAGTCAACTCCTACACCTGTGGATGTACAGAGCACTTTTGCAGGATTTTCAGCTTAGAGTATGTTTGAGTCTTCCAGGCTTCAGCACTAAAAAGCAGGAGCAGCAAAACTGACTGAATGCGTCAGCAAGTGCCTGGCAAACAGCTTGTGCCAAGTAGGTGTCAAAGAAAAGGGACCCCTAAGGCAGTGAAACAGCTGTTTCTGTGCGCATAGATAAGAAAAGCAACCCTGAATTGGTGATTGAGTCACTTAATTGTTGCAGTGTTATGACTTACAATGCTGTATGACAGGCACAAGATAGCTGCTATATATAGCACAACTTTACTTGGGAAGAACTTGCTGGAGGACACTGCAGTGCCTTTGTCTGTTGGGTTTGCACTCGGCATAGCCTGTACCGGAAAATCACACTTGGTTCTTCTGCCTTTATCCTTCCTCTTTCACAAAACGATATTATAAAAACAGACAATTTACCCTGTCGAATCGTGAGAGATAATTACTCTGAAATACTGGTCTGTGCTGACCTATTGAAAGTATGACAGTGTAACTTTCAGGAGTTTCAGGAGATGTTTAAGTCTGTTGATGAAGTAAATATCATGGAGTTAGGGACATGGAGGAGGATTCTCTGCAGTGAGAATCTAGGAAATAGCAACAGGTAAATGCGAACCCTCATTAGATATATTCAAAATATTTGGGATACAAGAGAGATTAAACTGAACTGGAGGGAAAAATATGCACCTTTGGAGGGAAAAGTAAGGGTATGTATTGAAACAGAAATATTTAGCAAAGAACCTGTTTCAGGAATCCTAATTAAATGTAAGTTGAGATGTCTAGCCTGAGATTTAAAATGAAAAGTTTCAATTCATTAAATAAGTATAAGCTGACATTAACCACTTCATCAAACAATGGTATTACAGGAAAACAGGAAAATATCACTGTAATTTTGTATTGTATATATTGTACCTAAATATATAATAACGTGTGCCTTATAATCAAAGTTTGGTACCTGTCCTGCTCTTTCCTTTCTGGGTTTTCAGTCATCTCATCTTCCTTACTATTTTCTTTATAGTTACCATTAAGGTTTTTGGTTTGTTTTGAGGAGATTTTTATCCTGCTGTCCTGATAGTTTAACTCTTCTTTTCAGGCCTCCTGACTAGTAAAATCTTTTTTCACCTGGCTATGAGATTCAACCTTTGCCTCGCACTGCTTCCTTGTCAAAGCTGTAGGACATGCTGTTCAAATGACAGACAAGTACATTTTCCAGAAATCAGTGATGTGTTCTGCATTCTTGCAGGATAGCAGTAAAACATTAAGAAACAGAGAGTGTTCAGATGCAGCTGCAGGATGCCACCAAACTTCCCAAATATGAGGGCAGCTTATATTGGCTGGCTGGCCTTGAGGAATCAGTACCGGAGTGTTATTGAAGGGAACTCAGTAAAAATTAAGAGACTTTAATTAAATTACCCACTCAACCTCAGTAGGAAAAAAAAAAACCACCCCAAAACCAAACAGAACGGAACACAGGAAATAAACGACTGGGTAGATCAGCCTTATGTTAAAGGTCACTTTCACTGCTGAGAAAAGCTGAAGTTTTATCCACCTTAAATATTTAAGTGCAAGTTGTTTGGATGCTCCAGTACACTGAGTCTGTCAGGGTATCTAAGAAAGAGAAGCATCGTGATCACAGAAAGTGCAGTTCTTAAGATTCTTGTGACTTTGTATTATTCTGAGTTATCAAAAGCTGGTCTGGAAACTACCAAGTACAGTGTGCCTTTTTGTTCGCTTTTTACTAAATTATAAAATTGAGCCCCTCTCCTTCCAACTGAATGATTAGTAAATCACTGTAAAAGGAAACTAAAGCAGCTGTTTCAGCTTCAGGGCAGTGCTGAGAGAGCTACACCCATGGCAGGATTTCAAAGAAAAAGAGCTACATTTGAATTTCAAAGCCTGCTGTCATATATCCCACAATGTGCCTCCTGTGGCCCAGTAATCTGTTTGCAATACTTTAATTTTCTATTGGAAAGCGCAACTGGGAGATGCTTAATTCTTCCGGTTTTGTTTTTTCATAATAGAGTCAGACAAGGAATGGGGAATATTGAAGAAAGAACCATTCGTCCATATCTCAGCCAAAGGTTGAGGCTTAAATACCAATAGGGAAAAGGGAAGAATAAAGGAAAATGTGGTGTATCTTAAGCACCTATGGAAAAAAAAGCAATGGTGTAAATTTTGTTCTAGATTATATTAATCAGAGTAAGAAGATATATTTAAAGGAAGATTTTAGGTTTCTTTGAAATATTTTAATTAATTTTCTTCAACAATAATGCTTAAAATAACTCCAGCATGTCTAAAAAGAAAGCTGTTTCAGACATGCTACAGTGATAAGGACCTAACCTCCTAATATTTACTCACAGGAGTAATTTGAACTCACATGCACAATCCCGTTGAGGTCAATTAGAATTACTTTGGCAAGTAGCAATTGAAAGTTCAGGCCATGACTCTGCCTTGCCTTGTGCTTCAGTTAACACTCAAGATCTGCATTATTTATACCACTGCATAATCCATTGTGTTTTACTGCTTAGATATTCAGCATGGTTTTACAAAAGGGAAACCATGCATGAAGTATCTCAACTTTTAAGAAAGTAACAGCCCAGATTAATTGGGAAGGGGAAGCACTTTCTTAATTGGACTTCAGAAAGGCATTGCAAATACTGCACAAAAGACTAATTTATTGGTTCAGTGGTTTATAGTTCATGATGAGCTATTAAATATTAAATACACACACTTAGATTTATACAAAGTAGTGCCCTGAAAGGCACTGTTTATCTTCTTTCAACATGTTCTTCACTTGTTTATATCACATTTCACATTGAATCTTAGGTTTTAGTTAGTCTCCATTAGTAATCAGATTGAAGGGAGAAACATTAGCCCTTAGATTTCCTTCGTGAAAGGCCTTGATAATCCCTGGCTCAGAGATTTGTCATCCATCATGTTCTCTGTGAGTACACACACAAGCTGTTCACCACAGCCATGGGAGGGTGGGGAGAAATCCTGCTGGACTCTGACGCCCTGAGGAGTTCAGTCTTGGAGAGGAGAGGACTGCCAGGGCAGACATTTATCCACTGCTTCTGCTGTCATTGTGTTGGAACTGTGCATCTGGTGTAGGAGCTGCAGCAAATATGAAAACCTTTGATAATCAGGTTTTTTTATTCTGCACAAGATAAAGGATGGTCATGGCTAGTGCAGGTAATAGCCTGCTGTCCCTTTGCAGGTAATACTGCTATCAGAATCAGAAACTTGGAAACAAGGATTTCAATGTTCACAGGAAAATATTTTGCTGAGAAGCAAGTGAGGTCGGTAAGGAAAGCAAAAGGGCATCTTCTTCCATGTTGCATCTCTTCCAGAATTAAGTCTTTGTAAGTTCACTGTAAGAGGTAGAGTGAAGCAAAACTGGATTACTTAAGTTTCTTGGTTTTCTTGCTTGGATTCAGTCTTGGTTTGACCCTATAAGTTCTCAAGTGATGCATTATACTGCCCACCCTTGGTATTTCACTACCAGTTCTGTGTTCAACTCCGAAAGCATAGCTTTCAGCCTGCCCACCCACCCCCCCCCAAAAAAAAAAGAAGAAAAAAGGATTCTAGCCAGATAACATTCTCTAAATACGTAATATGGTATTCAGTCAATATGATCAGAGATGTGAGAGAACAGATCTGTCTTGCATAATAGCCTCTGATTTGGGCTTTCAGATGTTACAAGGAAAGTCAGCTACAGCCAGAGGAATGTTAACTGGATGCTCATTCATAGACTGTATGATTTATGATCTACAGAAAACTAGGAGGTCCCTCCATATGCGACATATCTTCTTATCAAGCCACCTCAATGACTACACACTGGACGTTCCTCCCATTTTTCTTGGCTGGTTGGTTGATAATGTTAAGTCCTGGTTCTATCACATTCTCCTGTTGTCATAAGCTAATAGATATCCAAAATTATACAAATAATTCTTTAAAAAAATCCCATTTCAGTCATTCAATTGTAGTTAGTTTTAAGCACAGAGAGACTTTTCTAGCTTTGAAAATGGTTGCCATATTCATAAATTAGTCAGGAATGGGAGTTTTTAGAAGAATAAGCAGGTCAAGAAGAATGATAGGATACTTCTAGCAAAAGTTACCATAATAACAGATGATCCTGTGATCCTGTCAGAACTTTAAAAGCATACATGAGCACCACTATACAAGGACCATATGTTTCTACATTCATATCAGGAGAAAAGCACCTAACCTTCTGTCTTTGCTTTCTTCATATATTTCCACAATAACAGGGTTTTCAAAGCTATCACTGAAGTTTGAGTTGTTGAAAATCATGGCTTAAGAGCCAGTACTGATCTCATGCTCCCATTTACATTCACTATTATTTGTGCATAATCTTAAGGTCAGAATTATAGTAATAGTAGAACTACAACAACAAATGTTCAGCGTAAAAATCTCTTGCAGAAGAGGAGTCAGAGATCACTCAGATCTGATCTAGTAGTTAGTTTATTGAGTTCTAATCAGTAAATTTATGTATGTAAAATATTTAATAAGTACAGATGGATTGGCGA